CGGGAGCAAAATAATCATTAATGCATTCTTCTAAGAACTGAGTAACTCCAGCCTCTGACCTTGATACGATGAATTATCAAATATTCCATTTTTAAGGAATCTTGTACTTGGATGTCAAATGTTGACTTTCCAGGTGAAAACCAGGGAGACTTGGGAAAGAGAGAAACAAGGAATGTGAGAGCCAGCCCAGATGGACAGGCTCAAAGGCCCCTTGACACATTCCAAGCAGCAGGTGACCCGTTAGGCCTGGCACAGAGACTTTCATAGCAGTAAGACAGGGAGAGGCTGTGTGAAACTCCCAGATGTGTGTTGCTATGGTAGGATGTGGCCTTTGTTAGCTGGAAAGCCTAAGGGAAGGCAGAATGTCTGCTCTGGTCATCAGCCCCTCGCCTCTGGGGCTGTGCAGTCAGCTGTGTGTATTACCATCATCCGACGTGCACCCTGGGTGCACCCTGCAGCCAAGGTCGTCTTTACTCTTCCTCGGGCATATTCTTGAAGGCAGGTCATCATCGCAGCGTCGCAGTTCGGATACATGCAGTGAGAACTCAGTGAGCACGTTTGATAGAATGAGCTGCCGTTTCTGCCCATTGGCCCTCTGGTAACTGTTGAGGTGCTGGTTCCAACTGTGTGACTGGAGCTTGGAAAACAGCCACTGAGCTCCTGGCAGCGGCTTGCACGGAGAGTGACTAACCCTGTCATGTTTGTTGTCAGTTGTGTTCCATGTGTTGCTGAATGAAGTGCCAGCTTTTGTAGGTGCCACCCTGCCCACAGTGGCCTCTTGTCCATGGGCACTGTGTGAGGAAGAGCCCCTGCCTGAGACTTTTCCAGGGCCAACTCTTTAGTCCTTTAAGGTATCAGAATTTGCCTGCTGCTCACCTTCTGGGTTTCGTCCTTGAGCAGGTAGTCACAGAAAGCAACATTTTTAGTAAAATGACTCTAGCACGGGTTCATTTCATCTTTGGATTTTGCAAGGCAGGGCCTCCCAACCCCCAGTACGTAACCAGTTGATCTTCAAGTTGCACATTGCTTGGTGAATCTTCAGGACACTTGTTGTGAGGTAAATCTCAAGTTCAGAAGATCTAGCAACTTGCTACAAGTTTTTCTTTGCATATTGTGCTCTCATACTCTATCTTCATCTCATTGTAGCACATCATAGTAATTTGTTGAAATATCTAAGAGAGGTTCATACCTATTTTTAAAATTTCTCAAATAGGGCTGGTAATTTAGCTAGTGGCATAGATGCTTGCCTGGCAAGCTTGAGGTCATGAGTTCGATCCCCAGTACCAAAAAAAAAAAATTCTCCAACTGTCTTTTTGCAATTCTGGATGTTGATTGATTGTTTATGACACAGTCTTGCTTACATAGGTCACTCTGTATGTGATGAGCTCAGGCTGGCCTTGAACTTGTGACAATCCTCTTGCCTCACTCTCCCGAGTGCTAGGATTATAGGTGTGTGCCACCATACTGGGCTTAGTTTTGGGGATCAAATCCAGGGATGCTCTGCTAGCGAGTTGTGGCCCCAGCTGCTTTAAATTTGTTTATTTAGTTTTGAGACAGTCTCACTAGTTTTCCCAGAGTGCTTACAAACATGTGGTCCTCCTGCCCTAGCCTCCCAAGCATCTGGGATTACAAGTATGTGCCACCATGGCCAGCTCAAGCCACTCTTGACTATGCGTTATCTCTGGCTACAGAGCAGAGCAAGGCCTTGCAGGTAGGCTCTGTGGGGCGGATTCAGTGGTGTAAAGTGCAGGTCCCCAGTTGAGGTAGCCGAGCCTCATTCTGCAGTAGCAGGTCTTCTTCGCCTGTGCTGTGGCTGAACTGCACCCCAGGGATGCAGTGTCCCAGTGACTGGGCCTGGCCCAGCACTTCACGATGCCAAATTCTTTTGTTTAAAAAACAAACAAAACTTTCCATTTGGGAAGAAGTAAGTTTGGTGCCTCTGAGAGGACAACTTTTGAAAGGAAAGCATACTGTTAATATTTATTGGATACCTAAACTTTCCAAAAGAAATAATTATGTTTGAATACATCTAGTAGCCAGGGAGTTTGAACCTGATAATTCTCAAGTTTAAAAAACCTGAAGATTTCAGCTGTAATAATAAATTTATGTTGAGCCGGGCATGGTAGTACATGCCTGAAATCCCAGCATTTAGGAAACTGAGGCAGGAGGATCACTACAAGTTCAAGGCCAGCCTGGGCTAAGTAGTGAGTCCAAGACCAGCCTGAACTACATAGCAAGACCTTGTCTCAAAAAACAAACAAATTAAATTATTTTGTATTGATAGTCTTTTTATATTGAGTTTAAATTAATATGTATCCTTTCATCCTATACTGGAAGTGATTAATGACTAAATGACTGTTGAAACAGATGTACCTTTTATTTCTAGTAAGAGTGTTTTGGGTTTTTTTTAATTAACTAAGTTTATTGATACATTTCAGATACACATAATGTTCATATACATCATAGAGAATTTGTTCATGATATTTGTTCATGATTTTCCCCCGTCACCTCTGTTCCACCCTTCTTCCCCTTCCTAGTTACAAAAGCTTAGTTTCCATTTTTTCCTTTTTTTCTCATTTTTTTCCTTTTCTTTTTCTTCCTTTTCCCCTCCCCTTCTCTAGTTCTCCTTATTGGAACATTTTCTTCCTATTTCACAATACTTGTTACACATTTGGCTCCTTATTTACCCTTTTGGTTTCATTAGGAGTATGGTCTCAAGGTACATCATTTAGCTGGAAATGTCTCAAGGTTATCCTTCTTTATGGCTTAGTTATACTCCATTGTATAAAATAATCACATTTTCCTTATCTGTTCGTAAATTGATGGGCATTTGGGCTGTTTCCAAGATATAAGCTACTACACACTGTGCCACTATAAACATGGTGCACACATATTGCTATGATATGATGCTTTTAATTCTTTGGGGAAGATACCAAGAAGAGGAATAGCTGGTTCCAGTGGGGCTCTATTCTAGGGGTTTTTTAAAAAAGTTATTTATTTATTTTTTGAGACAGGGTCTTGCTATAGTCCGAATTTTTTTAGAAGTCTCTACACTGATTTCCACAGTGATTGCCGTAGTCTGCACTCCTACCAACAGTAAAAAGGGTTCCTTTTTTCCCCATAGCTCCACCAGCATTTGTTATTGGTTGGTTTCGTGGTACTAGCCATTCTTTCTGGAGTGAGATGGAATCTCAGGTTTGTTTTAATTTGTGTCTCACAAAGGACCAATGATGTTGAACATTTTTTTCATATATTTGCGCTTTCTATTTCTTCATCCAAGAAGTGTCTATTTCAGATCTGTTTTTGGATTGGATTTAAATTTGAGAGGGTCTGATTTTTTTTAGTTCATTCTGTGTATTCTAAATGTTAATCTTTTGAGGAAAAGTTGGCGAAAATTTTTTCCTACACTGTGGATTGTCTCTTCACTTTGTTAGTGGTTTCTCTTGCTGTGCAAAGCTTTTTAATAAGATAAAATCCCATTTGTTGATCCTTTGTGAAGTCACTGTTTAGTTGTGATCTTGTTCATAAAATCTTTGCCTTACACTGATGTTTTCAAGAGTTCTACTTAGTCTATCTTCCAGCAGATTTGTCAGTAACAGTATTTTGAAGAACAAGGTAATTGGTGATTTTCAACAGCTTTACTGTAAGCAGGGAATAGAGAAATTTGAGTGTTACCACAGACAAAACAGTCACAGTTGATACACATGTCACTTCATTAAAGCAAGTCATTCATGGAAAATAATCACCTTCAATTATGAAAAAGAAAATGTGCTGAACAGAGAAATAGAAAGTGTGCTACCTTGTTTGAGGAATTGTGTCATTAGTGCTTCTTGGGGTTAAGCAATGGTTTACCTGAGAGGTAGACATGTAGGGGAAGTTATTTACCGCAATTGCTGAAAATGCTGCTGTTTGAACAATGGTTTTAGATTGATTTCCTGCTTCCATTTAGATGCTCTCATTTGTCTTATGTTTATTAACATTTAAACACCCACTAGAAGAGTCGCATTTTGATTGAAAGTCTGTGAAGTATTATGGACCTGTGGGTCTGAGAAATCACAGCATAGCCTGTCTCATCTGTCCTAGCGTGGACCCTTCCCCACGCAGTCTCAAGGTGATCCTGTGACGTTTTACACATAGTCTATAGCCACCACAGTGAAATTCCACAAACTTAAAACATTGTTGGGTATAAACTCATTGGCAGTAGTATCTTTGTAAGAAATAGATCTTTAAACCTAGTTATAAAGTGGTTACCTGACTACCTGGATAATCTTAGGAATTGAAAGGTAATCCCCTTGTTTCCATTTCTTGGAAATTTCTAGAAAGAAAGAGATTCTGATACTTTTTGTCACTATCCTTCTCACCTGACTAAATCTGACCCATTTTTCTGCCCCTCTTCCAAGCACTGACTGATTTCAGGAAAGACAATGGTTCCCTTATGTGTCTTTAGGGAATGACCCAGGTCAAAGATAAGTCTCTGTTCTTTCTGCTCAGGCCCATTCGCTTCTGGGGTGTGTTTTCCTGTGAAATAGGAGGAGGCAGAAGTTGGCCCTCTTTTGCTAAAGTGTGCTGAATTCACCATGACCACTATAGTGGATCGAAGTGCTGGCTGTCTGCCAGAAGGAGAAACATTTGAATCTTTCCTGGTACACACTGACTGTAGAGCTCTGCTTTCATAGCCTTCCTCTTGCTTATACTGGCAGTGCAAGCCATATTAGACTGCTGGTGTGGTGCTGACTTAGGTCCTTTAAACTCCATGTTTTCATACATATAATTTTTTGGTGTTTTGAGACAGGGTCTTGCTATGTAATCCAGGCCAGCCTTGAACCCACTGTTTAGCCCAGGATGGCCTTGAACCAGCAGCAGTCTCCTGCCTCAGCCTCCCAAGTGCTAGAATTCCAAGTGTGTGCCACTACACCCAGTTTAAAGTACAAGTGCCTATACTGTCATTCACAGGACACTTTTGTGGGAAGGAAAAACCTGTTTTTTCACTGTTTCTCCAGGACTCTGGATCGACTTGGAAATGTCCTACAATGGATCCTTTCTGATGACTCTTGAGACCAAAATGAATTTGACCAAACTAGGTAAAGAGCCTCTTGTTGAAGCCCTGAAGGTTGGAGAAATTGGCAAAGAAGGGTAAGGGTCTATATATGCACTTACTAACCCAACCTTGGGGGTCCAGCCTCTCTCTGCAGTCTTGGATTAGCGGGTCTGAGGTCTGAGCGCCCCTGGCTGGCAAGCTAGCATCACTGTAAGTGCTTCTGGACTCATCCCTGTAAGAGTGCACATACATCATCCATCCCCAGGGGAGCTCCCACTCCCTGCTCAGCTGTGACAGCTGTTTTGATCTCAGCACCGAGGCAGGGATAGCATCTCACTTACCCAAAAGGCATCACAGAGTCAGACAAGCAGGGCAAACCCATCTGAGCAATAAATTTCTCCATGAACCGAATCATTGCTCCAAAACACTATTATCTTCAGCTTTCTAGCACAGACAGCAATGTGTGAAGCCATTTAAGGTCCTTTGGGGAGTCACGGCTTTAGTCACCAAGCCAGAATTATCTGTAATGAGGTGGTTGGTTTTGCAGCTGAGAGGATACCCCACAAGTGTCCTGAGAAGCATCTTCCCAAAATAGTACTGTAAGGATTTGCTTGATGAATTCTTCTCTTTGTAGAAAGTACATTATGTTGCTCACAGTTGTCTAATTTAAAAATATTCCAAAAGTTTGAGATAATTTATGGAGCATTTTTCTTTTGTTTTGCTTTTCTGTGGTGGTACTTCTCACGGGGTATATCCTCAACTTTTTTTTTTTTTTTTTTTTTTTTTTTTTTTTTTTTTGAGGCAGGGTCTTGTTAAGTTGCTCAGACTAGGCTAATACTTGTGATCCTCCTGCCTCAGCCACCACATCTTGCTGGAGCTTGATTCCCACACCACCACCACCCCTCTTAATGCCTAAGAGAGTCACTGGGATCACCGAGAGGATAAGCCAGAACTTTTATATTCTCACACACCTTAAAAGTGGCTGTGCTGGAAGGTTGTTGAAAGTTCAAGATGAGACTCAGAGTCAGCCTGAACTACAGAGTGAGACCCTGCCTCAAAAGGACCAAAAAAAACAGTGACTGCTCTGACTACTCCTATAAATGTTTCCATTGTTTTTACCAAGTTAAAGCCTGCTGCTTCTCACATGTCTGCTCCCTTTGCATGGGAGTAACAGTAGAATGACAGGGAAATGCCACAGGTGCTGCCTTTGCACAGCTAAATGCAAGAAACAGGCTTTTAGATGTCTGCTTACTTAACACTACTCACCTACTGCTTTTATTCATGCTTGTGGTAGTAGCAGACTGGGTGAGTTATAGGTATACCTTCAAGAATATTCTTTTGATTAGATTATCTGAGTTGTTTAATGAAATGTTTTGTTTTAATAGTTGGGATAATTTTACCTGCTGTATGCAATCTAATCGACATCTGCTATTTTTTTTTCATTTTCTGCTGTTTGTTAAAATATATTTGGATTCTGCAATCTGTGGATTTGTATTTTCTGGTGAGTGGTACTTATCAACTCTCCGTGTGGCATTTCATACCCTGTGAATGATAACTCTTGTTTGGGTCCCCCATGAAACCATGGGGAAGCTTGTCTTTTCATCATGGTTCTAGACATGAAGGCACAGTTCATGGACTTGAGAGGCCGTTCAGATGAGGCCTTTGTGGTAAGGAAAGTCTTAGACATCCCTAGTTAGAATTGCTGGGAGTCCTGGGCAGATGTGATGGTACATTCCTGTAATCCAGCATTCAGGAGACAGAGGCAGGAGGATCACCATGAGTTCAAGGCTAGGCTGAGGTACATTGTGAGCTCTAGCCCAGCCTGAACTACATTGTGAGACCCTGCCTCAAACTAAAACAAAACAACAACAAAAATCAAACCCAAGCAACAAAAGATACATTGAAAATATTTTCTAGAAGGAATTACAGGCCTGTGCTACCACCCCTGACCCACATGCATCTTTGGGCTCAGTTTGTGGGAACATCAAACTTCTGAAAGCCCTTCCATAGTGAAGAAGTGATTCTAGAATCCATTTCTTTGCTTGCGCAGTCAGAGCGTGTAGAACCCCGAGACTAGAAGTAAGACAGAAATCACTGATGTTTGCTACTGACACCCTCCTTGTTATTGAGCTCCCTGAAGCAGACTCTATAGAGGTGGACAGCAGCAGCCTTTTCCTTCAGGCTCTGCTTTCAACCTGTGGCTGCCTGTCCAGGGCCACATTGAGATTTTGCACTCCAGTATCCAACTCTGGCAGGGCCTCTACTTTGTCTCGCTGCTTTTATCTGTCCCTGTCCAAGTGTGCAAGTGATTGTGCTCATGGGATGTCTGAGGAGATGCTGCTGACTCTGAAAAATTCTTTTTGTTATAGTTTAGTGAGACAGTATCTCACTGTGTAGTTCAGGCTGGTCCTGAACTCATTGTGTAGCCCAAGCTGGCCTCGAACTTGTGGCAGTACTCCTGCCTCAGCCTCTTGAATGCTGGGATTATAGCCATATGCCGCCATGCTCAGCTAACTCCCCCTTTCTGATAGTAAGATTATTCACCATAACACCCTGAGGACAGGATGGAGAAACTGAAATTTGTGTTGCTTTCTTCAAGTGAAGTCCCTTTCCTTTGAAATGTATGTCCACTGTGTATTGGTTGACATTTTTCCTGTAGGCTTTTTCTGTCCCAGATAGCCTAGTCACAAGCTGTAATTAGCATCACTTCTGGGCAGTAAGACTCAAAATGGAATTTAAGGCTAGAGCTGGAGCTTAATAGTAGAGCATTTGCCCAGCATGCCAGAAGCCCTGGGTTCTATCTCCAACATGTCTGTCTGTCTCGCTGTCTCGTGCTCTCCCTCTCTCTCTCTCTCTCTCTCTCTCTCTCTCTCTCTCTCTCTCTCTCTCTCTATCTCTCTCTCTCTCTCTCTCTCTCACACACACACACACACACACACACACACACACACACACACGGAATTCAGGTGGTAAGCTGAGTAATGTAAACTTTAGGAAAGGATCTGGAGAGGAGCTGAATGAATCAGAAAACGAGGCTTGATGAGTGGCATTAGAGCGAAGCATTCCTATGAGGCATTTGGGCTGTCCCCAGCCACCACTGCAGCCCGGGCCAGTGCGCAGGTTCCTGCATGATGACCCCACTGCGTCCGTGGTGTCTCACTGTCCACTAAGTTATCTCTCACTTGGTGAGAGGCCCTCGGTGTTCTAGGAGCCAAGTCCTTACACAGTACCCTGTGACACTTGTTCATGGGAACATGCACATGTGTATCTGTGACAGATGGATAGGACTGATTCCTCTTAAATAAAAGCAAATGAGTACATCCTAGGAAGTCTGATTCCCTCACAGGGATGTTGAATCTAATTATGCATTCTTTACTTAAAACATTTCTTAGAGCTTCTTTTATAGAATTGGAGTCTATGACATTTTTTAGCCATCCTGAGATAGCAAGTCAGCCTACTTTGTAGATAGTTTGAGAATTGTCAGAAATTGTCAAAGGTGATGATTGTAAGACCAAGAATTAAAATATTTGGTCCAATGCAGAGCATCAATAATAAAATGCTTCACTTTTTCTTATGTCTGGCTCCAAACACATTTCCAAAGCAGTTTTCAGCAGAGGCAGCATAAATGGAATAAGCCTTTTCAGGTGGCTCTCTTGAGAGCCTTATCTGGAATTGTGAGGGGTGTTTAAAGCCAGTGGGCTTATCACATTCAGTGTGTAGAGCGTCTTTTTATGAAGTTTCTGCTGACACTATAAAGTCAAGATAATAAATTGCATATTCAGGTGTAAAGCTGAAGATCAGCCAAACATTTTAGCCACATGCTTAATTAGTAGTGGGTGCCGTTTAAACACTGTCCAATGCAGACAGTAGAGTTAGTACTTAGAGTCAGAATTTTGTATCATTGGATCTGCTTTAGCTGGTATACCATTATCTAAATTTTTTATTTCAAGTTGCAAAATCTGCCCTGTTCTCTGTGCTACAAAGGATTAGTTTTGGAACCGGAGAGCTCACTGCAGTGCTCAGCCTTTAGCATCTTCTGCCCAGGGGTCTGGAGCTGCCAGATGACACATATCAGTGGGGACACGAAGGATAGTGGCTCAGTAGATCCCACTGGGATCACAGATCCTACAGACAGCCCTTTGTGCCGTGTGGAGTGGAGGTGAAGCAGGCTGTGTGCTGTGGGCATAGCTTCCCCACCTGGCTGCACAGGGTATGGACCAGAGTGCAGCCATACTGCTGATGGAGAAGTGGGACAGTTATGTAATCACTGGTGATTTATATCTATGACTGTCCTCGTCCCAAGACTCAGTTTGGGCTTTCTGGGGAATCATATTTTGCATCGTACATGTGAAACAAGAGTGCTTGAGGTTGCCTAATCTCAGAAGGCTCTGAAATGGCTCTGTGACCACAAACACACATAGGCACAGGACTAGCCAGGCCTGTGGTGGAAGGAAGGAAAAAGAGGCAGTCAGATGTTGTTAGGGATGAGAGGCTTCTGTTTTGCAGACGGAGCATCCCTTTAACTTGCTGGCTGGAGTACTGGTTCTAAAGTTTCAGGGCCACGCTCGAGCAGGATCCATGTGTCCTGCCAGGGAAGACACTCCTCAGATCCTCTTACAGCCCAGCTCCTGTTTCAGGGGTGGAGGCTTCAATCTCGCCATCCTGAGTGCAGTGCTGGGGCTGCTGCTGGGCTTTGTTAGCTTACTGGCATGTCTGTCTGCCCTTGACCCTGTTGGTTAGGAAATGACTGCTTCAGGGTGCTTCTGGTGGCCCAAGTGCTGCCTTAGAGCTGCAGGGAGATGTGGCCAGCTCTACTGCCTCCCATCTTGGCAGTCGTGTCCTTGTCAAAAATATAAGACCCAGGGGCAGGGGATTTAGCTCAGCAGCATAAGCACCTGCAAGCACAAGGTTGTGAGTTCAATTCCCAGTACAACACACACACACACGCCTCTATGTGGAGACCGTTTGGTTCCTGTGTGGAGACTACTTATTCATTTCATCCCAGTTAAGTCCCTGAGCCTCAGAGATAGACCCTACCAGTCAGTGTTCTTGGAGACACAGCCACAGTCCAGGGAGTGAACTGCCTCTGCGGGACTGAGCTCAGCCAAGACACCCCAGTGCCTCAGAGGGGAGCCTTGGTCCCTCTCTTCTGCCGGTGTTTCAGCAAGTCGCACGCCTCTGGAAACTTGAGTCCCAGCCTGGAGATTTTAATGAGGGATGATACTCTGATGAGGCTTTTCTTTGCTTTAACGAAAAGAATGGTCATTTGCATTTTTTCAGGTGAAGTCCTGGATTCTCATGTTAGTTGTTTCTTCAGATCCCTTAAGATTTACACCTTATGTTTTTTAGTTTGTGACTCTCAGAAGATGGGGCAGGTATAGGATAAGGTACTTAATTTCCCTAGGAAAGAGTCATGAATGATAACTAATTTGGGGATTAACCACGCCAGGAAATATCAGTTTTTGCCTCAGCTGGAGACAATGGACTTGCCTGCATGTCCTCATCACCAGTGAGAGCTGCTAATGTCACCGACATAGCTGTCACCTCACCCCTGCTACCATCTGTTCTTTCCATTCACCCTCCCACTTGTTTCCCCCTGTACTACTGACAAAATCACTGCATTTTATGTAACTGCATCACACTCCACCACCTGTCCTTTTGACGCATGCTCAAATGGCAGCTAACTCTTCAGGGCCCAAGTGCTCTGTAGTCCTGATGGGGAACTTGGCACTGGAATGTCCTGAGTAAGAACCAGGACTCTCAGATTGGGCCTTCTTTTTGTTGATGGTTTGAAGACAAGGAGAGTGTCATAGAGGTTCCATCTTGACCCCTTCTGGTTGATTGTGCATGTGCTCTTCCTAAGCAGTGGACTGGCTGCAGTGGTCACTGTTCTGTCTCCCTGTTCAGTTGCAGGCCCCGGGCATACTGTCTTGCAGACAGTGATGAGGAATCTTCCAGTGCCGGCTCCTCTGATGAAGATGATGCACCAGAGCCCAGTGCAGGAGACAAACAGCTGCTCCCAGGGGCTGAGGGGTGAGTAGAAGTGGATCAGGGCTCAAGCAAAGCCTTTCCCTTTCTTCCATGTGATCTTCCTCCTTCAATGCTGGATGAGGGTTGTTACATTAATATCCAGTGTCAGTAGACAGGCCCCAAAGAGGAACAATTTGTATATCTGTCCCTTCTTAATTCCAGACTCCGTAACTTTCTCCTGCCATTAAATAGCAAAGAAGTTGGAGGGCGAGGCTGTGCAAAGCAGCCCTGGTCCTCCTAGGAGGAAGAGGAGCCCTGGCTGCACACTGGCACTCCCTTGTCAGGTGGAAAGAAAAGCCTTAGCCCCTGAAGTGGGAGACCGTGTTGACTTGAGTTGCTGGCTCCTACAAAGCTGAAGAACTGAGGGTTTTTTATTCTTGTTTTTGTTTCTTTTGTTTTGGTGAATTTTGAAAATATTGATAACAGTCGATATTTTTGGATCATGAGTCATTTGGGGGCTCTTTTGCCTGTTACTTGGATAGTGGAATAAGTGGAATGAATCTTTGAATTATTTAAAAAGAGCTAAAGAAATAAAGATTATAAAGAAGCCAGTTTTTCAGAAACTTTAGTAAGAAAATAACCCATTCAATTATGAGATCATGTAGAAAAAGATAACCCGGACGTTTGGACAGGTGGTGCTAAACAGTGTGTGTGTTATTTAAACCCTAGTTGCTTGACCTTTTTGAAAATGATTGCTTTGAGCTAAGGATGTAGACGGGTGGTAGGGCACTTGCCTAGCGTGCATAAGACCCTGGGTTCCATTTCCAGCACTACCAAGGTGGTGGGGTGAAGGAAGAAAAAAAAGTGTTTATTTATAGGTACATACTATTCCTGATGCCTGGAACTGCAGAGGATTTTCATATCAGATATCCTCTCGTCTTAGTGAGTCTTATGAATTATATAACCTGACACAAAGGTTTATTTTCTTGACCTATAGTATGTCAGCTTAGTTTGACATAGCATTTTTCTTTAAGAGGTTCCAAACCCTAAAAATAAGGCAGGGAGGGGAATTCCAGGCCCTTTGAAAAGTACTTGCCTCTGGGCAAGGTGGCACACTTGTAATCCCAGCATTCTGGGTCACTGAGGTAAGATGATCATAAATTCAAACCCACCCAGAGTAATATAGTGTCTCAAAATTTAAAATTTAGTGTCTCAGAATTTAAAGGGCCCTGGGTTAAATCTCCAGTAACACACACACATACACACACACACAGAAAGAAAGAAAAGTATTTGCCACTCAGGCCAGTAGGACGCTACCTAACGTAGGTAATCACTGTTCTGTGTTTCTAGCATGCAGCATGATTTGCCATTTGATATTGGAGATTGAGAGGTTGCTGTATAGTAGTAGGACATGGACCTTTACATTCAGTCTTTGAGTAGTATATGGAAGGTCCCTTCTGTACATGAAGACCTTGTCTAGCCCTCCAGTGTCAGTTCAGGAGCTCTGACATTTGCAATTTTTTCAGGTAGTAGCTTTCGACTGAGGGCAATTTGGTCATCATATGTGGAGACAGACATGTTTGGCATAACTGGGGAGTGCTAGTGCCATCTAGTGGAAGAAGGCGGGGATGATGCTAAGAACCCTACAGTGCACAGCACAACACAGCTCAACTCAGAATTAGGTGATCCACGCCAACACAGCAGTTGAGAAAGGGCTGTAAAGGAAGGTGCACCTAGAGCCACAAGGAGCTTCTGTCTGTGAAAGAGCTAAGTTTATACTGACACCTTCTTGTGTTCCTCATTTTAAGGTATGTTGGAGGTCATCGAACAAGTAAAATTATGAGGTTCGTTGATAAAATTACCAAATCAAAATACTTCCAAAAAGCAACAGAGACAGAGTTTATTAAAAAGAAGATTGAAGAAGTCTCCAATACACCCCTGCTGCTAACTGTTGAAGTACAAGAATGTCGAGGAACCCTGGCGGTCAACATTCCTCCACCCCCAACTGACCGCGTATGGTGCGTAGAGGGGCCTTTAGGGACAGCAGACGATTCCTCTTGTTGCATAACCCTAAAAATCCCAGCCTGCTTAACTTAGCACTAAGGAAAGTACCTTCTTTACTGTTGGAAATTATACTTCTGTAATGGTTCATTCATATTTAAGGATTTATCTTCATATATCAGGGGCAGTTAGGATGAGTACATGAGATCTATGGGATGAGCTGTTTCTATTCTTGGTCTTCTTCCTCTCCAAAACTGACTGTTCCACTAGTAGTGACTTCTGCCACCTGTAGAGTGCCCTTGATCTCCGCTTGGCCTGGGTTATGCCTGCACTGCCGGGCTTGTTCTCACAGCATCCTGCTGATGAGGTGCCTGGTTGTCACACTTAATGGATGGAATTCAGTTACACATCCGGCAGAATCCAGGTAGTTAGGGAGACTTCCCAGAGTTATACCTTGATGGACATGTTTTTGGTGTTTGTGGTAGGAGATCTACACAAAGAGTTGGTTCTCAGCTCCAGCGGCATGATAGAATCACCTGGGAACTTACTGAAAATGCAGATATGCCTTCCTGTCCTCCAGGATTTCAGCAGTTGATGGAGGAGTTATAATTAAGCCAGGGTCAAGAATAAAATAAATTATGAACCCAGCATTTCTATCTATGAATCTAATTAAATTGGCATTAGGCTGGGATATAGCTCAGTGGTAAGAGACTTGCCTAGCATTGTAGAAAACCCTCACTTCTATCCCCAACACTGAAAAAAATTAGCATTGCATATTGCATAAAGTAAGCATAAGTAGATAGTTATCACATAAGAAATGTTAATGTGTCATAAACTATATTCATAACAAAAACATAGTTTTGTGACCCACCAAAGGGAAACCAGCGTTGCCTGTACATTTCTTTACGTTCCGGAGGCTTTGTAGAAATAATCAAAAGAGTTTTGAACTGTCTTAACTATTTGATGGTGCTAATAGTGTTTCCCAGTAAAACTTAAAAATACCTTTATATGCCAAGTGTAGTGGTGCACATCTGTAATCCCAGCACTCAGGGCTGAGACAAGAGTATCACCAGCCTGAACTGTATAGCAAGACCCTTTCTCAAAACAAAAACAAAAAAATTTTATATATAGACTTTTTTCTTATAGTAATAATTCATGATTTTTTAAAAAGTGATATTGAAAAAAAGACCAAAAATTAAGGACCATAGGGCCCGGGGATTTAGCTCAGCGACGTAAAGCACCTGCCTTGCAAGCAGGCAGTCGTGAGTTCCATCCGTGGTACCGATAAAAAAAAAACGGAAGAAAGAAAAAAAAATTAAGGTCCATTATCTTACCATCTAGAAATGACCACTGTTACTACTTTATAGTCTTCTAAATCTTAAAATATAATTTTTTTAAATACTGAGGTCAGGGCTGGGGATTTAGCTCAGCAGTGTAAGTTCCTGCCTTGCAAGCAGGGTCATGAGTTTGATCCCCAGTACCAGGAAAAAAAAAAACCTAAAAATAAATAAATAAATACTGAGTTCATACATTTCTTCCCTGTACCCTCAGACTTCTAGATTTAGCAGTTATACAAGCCACTGCCCAGCGGGCGGTGAAATTAAAGGCCCCTCAGATAGTGCTCCCCAGCATGTGCTCAGGTGCTGAGCTGTGTACCCCTGACCACACGATAAATACAAATATTGAGAACATTTAGATACACTTAGGGCAATTTTGCACTTCTCCTAGGTTTCTTAAACATTGACCTATAACAGATTAAAGTTTCAGGCAGTTTGCTGGCACTCAGTGTCTTATCCGGGTACTTTGCTAACAGTTCTGAGTTCCAGGCAGCTCTCATGGGAAGCTATAAAAGTACAGTGTGGAGGGTGGGAAGAAAAAGCAGGTCGGCATATGCTTAGGAGAATATGAGGAAAACTGACCCCGCTTCATTCATTGGCCCTTTCCTAGGGATGACAGTCAAGCCAGGTCTTTGAAGTTATGATTTTATTGTTGTTGTTTTGAGACAGGGTCTTATATCGTTCAGGCTGGCCTCCAACTAGGGGTGATCCTTCTACCTCAGCTTTCTGAGCCCTAGGATTACAGGCCTGTGCTATCACATATGTGTTTGTTTGGGTTTTTGTGATGTGCATATCTTTTATCAAAATAGAAAAAAGATCATTATCATTTTAGGGAAAACAAAAATAGAAATCCTCAGATAATGACCTTCCATAGGGTACTTCCTCACTTTTCCAGTTTGCAAGAAGTGGTCTAATTTGCTGGGGAGTACAGGGAGTTTAGAAATCATTCTTCCTTTGCCGAATTAACTGTAGAGGGGATTTTCAGACTTGTAACATTTTAAGTTGTGATAAAGCCCCATGTAAATGAGAAGCGTTTGCCATCAATGCTTGTCTACTTCCTCTCTGGCTCTAAATATGATTATTGTCGTCTTCTCAAAGGTACGGCTTCCGGAAGCCACCATATGTGGAGCTGAAAGCTCGGCCAAAACTTGGAGAGAGAGAAGTGACTTTAGTTCATGTGACAGAGTGGATAGAGAAGAAACTGGAGCAAGAGTTTCAGGTAAACATGTAGTGTTATCTCGTGTTTCACACCAGGTATAAAAAGCTCAGGATAAAATAGAGATCCTGAGCTTCATCTGGGTCAGGATCCACTTTTGAGAATCCAACAAAAGCCATTCACCTTCACCCCAGAAAGACACACATGCTCTAACATGGAGGTAAAATGTCAGGTAAGGTTTCAAAGGTCCCGCATAGAGTATTACTATGTAGTCTTCAGAGGAAACCCACAGGTGGATCAAGGAGCAAAATGATAAGGCTTCATACCAGTCAGGCTGCTGGGCCTCTCTGGCTGTGTTTCGTGCCGTGTGTAACTAGAATGGGCTTGCTCAGCTGCACCCCGTCTACAGTTAAGGACATTGCTTCCTATCCTTGTGTGCTATTCTTCTTGCTTTTTTAGTTCAACATACATTCATGGAAACTCTTCTGTAGACCATCGCCCAAATACCCTGGGACAGTGATGGTGAACCTCTTAGCACTTTCAGTGACACTGACAGCCCACTCACTGCAGCACTCTGCCATAGGTTCACCACCACTGCCCTACGACTTCAGCATAAACCGGGCCTCCCCATATACCTTCTAGTAGAGTCTGGGAGTTTACTAACCCAGATCATGGACCTCTCATACAGCCTTCTCCAGGCATGCTTCGTGCGGTTTGTTTTTGGGTGAGATATAGAGTCTTGCTGTGCAGTGCAGTCAGGGTTTGAGCTCACTCTAGCTCAGGCTGGCTGTGAACTTGTGAAGATCCTCCTGCCTCAGTGTTTCCATTTTGGCTTTTTAAAAAGATGGTCTTGCCATCTTGCCAGACATGGTGGTGGACATCTGTAACCTCAGCACTCAGGAAGCTGAAGCTGCAGGATCATTGCAAGTTCCATGTCAGCCTGGGCTATATAACATCCTATCCCAAAAAAAATCATTTTTTTTTTCCCTGAGATTTACAAACATAAATTCAGTTGAAATGTGTTCTGGGCATAATAATTTGCAAATACTGTCAGTAGTTAAAACAGTTCTTTTAATGTTGATAATCACTTATAATTTTATGGATGTACAGAAAATCAGAGTTCTGTTTTGGAACTGATATATTACATTTTGTATTTGTGCACTAGTGATTCCTCAACTCTTTAAATTACAGAGAGGGAAAACAAAAATTACAGTGGAGCAATATACAAGAAAAATTTGTATTCTTAAAAATCTATCCAAAGTCTGAAATTATAATTAGAACCCAAAAAAAAAAGGGTGATAAACTGACATTCTCCCACATGGCTGTTCTTTAATATCTCCCCGCAGAAAGTTTTTGTCATGCCAAATATGGATGATGTTTATATCCCTATAATGCACTCAGCCATGGACCCTCGCTCTACTTCCTGCCTCCTGAAAGACCCACCGGTGGAGGCTGCTGATCCGCTGTAATGGGTGAAGATTGGATGTTCCCTGTATTGAGACCTAGGTCAACATATGGGGTTCCTGGCTACCATCTGTGCTGTGGCATTGCCCTTTACTTGTGCCACAGCTACTGTCTCTTTAAGACTGCTTCTGCCCTCTGCCTGCTGGTGCCCATTCCACTGTGAGGTGTCATTCCCTGCTTCCAGTGACAGGTGTTTGTATTGCCTGCTGCAAAGCTTGGACTTGGCAAAGGAAACTGAAGAATCATCAAAGTGGACCCAGAAGTTACACGTGATTCACATCGTGGCTTTTTAAAGTCTACCAGTTTTTGTGACAGCAAACAAGCACAGTCAGAGTGAAGCTGTACAACTGGAAGACTTCCCCTCACCTCCTGGACTCATCCAAAGCTTTTCCTCAGGCAGCTGGTGCATAATGGAAATTTTTTTCACTCTCCACTTTGTAAACGATTGCAGTCCTCCATGCTCCAAGAATGTCAATGTGGTAATGTGTATGGGAAATGGAATTCTGTGAGCTATTGCAATGGTGGTAAAAGAGATACACATAGCAACTTATTTTTTTTCATATTAAGTTGTGCATTTGGAAGCAAGTTGCCATAGAACACACACAACTTTCAGCTGGGGTGGAGGCAGTGGGATTCATGTGAACATTAGGCAAAGTCATGAGATCAAACCATCCCAAGTCTTACCATTGAGGCACAATCATCCTGCCTTTAATCCTGATTGCTTTCCTGAGACACAAGCATATATGACAATGACAAATATGAGTCCCAAGACCCAGATTTCTGTGTGCTCTAGAAAGCTTCAAATACGAAGGGGAATCCTCTGTGGTTTGGAAAAGTTGTGGGCGGTTTTCTTTCCTGATAGCCAAAAAAGAACCGCTCAACTGGTAGCTGATTTTGAGTCAAGACCAGAGGTTTGCTTCCCACTAGACACTACATAGCTCCAAGTACATGTGACTTTCCTGTAATGTTGCCAACTTAATTTTGTGCATTTGTGTCAGAATGTTTAGTTTACAAGTTTGGGGACTCTCTACTTGTATAATTTGCTTTGAGAAGTAAATACAATTTTTTATTGTTTAAAGCTGCATTGAATATCAAAATTACCTTGGGTAACTTGGTAAGTTACATCTGTGGACAAAGCGAATAGTGATTTTTTTTTTTTTTTAAAAAGCACCTTGCCTGTCTTTAAAGAAATTAATATATTAAAAAGATATATTTGAGCCCTTATTTTAATTGCACCATTAAAACATTTGACTTAAATTACTTGACCACGCCATCGGTGTATTGTTCTAATTTCTCATCGTGTGGGCCGATTTGCCTGACAGGAGTCCGCATGTCTCGTTCACTGTTCCTCACTGTGCAGTAACTAAAGGCAAAGGACTAGATGCACTGCTGTGGATTACACAACTGCACCCTGCTGCACTTAATCGAAATAGTAGTGGGGACTTAGAAGAATTGCTTGCATTGTTTCACAAAATAATTATCTCCGGTCAAATACTAGATAAGCATCTAAGTTATTTCTACAAAATCCTGTTAGACAAGGACAGAATAGTGGATGCAGAGCACTTGGCCTTCACCTGCCAGTAAGAGCATTTATCTCTGTGTTCAGCTTGCCAAAAGACCAGTCCTTCTAAGTGTAAAAGACTTTTGTTACAACAAAACAGATCTAATTGGCTGGTACTTGGCCACTCTGCAATTGAGTATTTAACAGAAGTGTTAAAGTGAGAACAGAACAGATGCCAGGTACAATGGTGTGGGCCTTTAATCCCAGCACTCAGGGAGGTAGGATAGCCCAGTACAAGGCCTACATAGCGAGATCTCACCTCAAAAACACAAGATTTTTAAAAAATGACAGTAACATGCCACCTTTTATAAAGGTTAGAGCATAACGCTAACAAGAACATAGGTTGACATGTTGCTTTTGGCAAAGAGGGGACTTTGTCATTAGGTTGACTCACCCTTCTCTAAAGCTTTAGCTTACTAAATTGTTGAGATTTAGCAGTGATTCTTGGTTTGATCCATAGTGTCACAGTGCCACCTACGCCTATGGTTAAGAATGGCATTAACGTAAGGCAGGTGCCATTTCAGTCTACATCTAAATAACCAAGTTCAGATAACCTTAACCTAATTGCAACCCGGGTAATTGTGCTCCAGAGCTGAAACCCATACTCTTATTTCCAGTCATAATTTTAATCTGGGGCATTTATTTAATATCCACGCGTCAAATATTCTTCACTTGTGCACCCTTAACCCTCAACATAGGTGAACATTCGCGTAAAGCCAACTGTAAAAGTTGTCCCTCAAACGTCACTTCACAGCCGTCCTGTAACTATGCAGTTAAGCTAACTGGACAGCTCATCTCAAAGTCCATGGTGGTCACGGTTACCTGAGAAGTTTACTTGTATGCCTAACTACGCCTTGACCAGAACTTAAACCCATACCCAGCTCCAGCCCCAAGCCAGTTCTCGTCTAATCCCGCTGCTGTCTGACCTGCCCATCCCATATCGCGCGTAACACGTACATCTCCTGTATTCCGCCAGCACGGCAGCTGCAGACTTGGCAGACAACCTGGGGAGGTACAGCGTACGGGCGCAGAGGCGGGGCACTCACTAGGCACCGCTGTATGCATTTAGCCCGGTAAAAGTGCTGGTTTCCCCAGCAGCCGGGTGGCGGCCGTGTAGCTCGCGGTTAAAAGGGCCGTCGGCGAACGGCAGGCGGCCCCAGTTATGCGCGAGCACCTTCTCTGGCGCCGCAGCTTGACCCCCGGCGCCACACACAGGCGCACGGGGGCTCAAAGGCAGCGCGTCAGCAACCACACAGACGACAAGCTGGGGCCGAATCACTTTATTGAGGGATTTGGAGTGGGGAGAAACAGCTCGAAACACGCTTTAGACAAGGAGAAGGGACGTCCTTGGCATGGCTGGATCTGCAAAAAACGAAAGCATACTGTATGTCAGCGAGTGTGGGCCTCCCGGCCCGTCTCCTCCCCTCAGTGAACCCGACAACCGGCTCAGACTCCAGTTCGCATCACCCTTGTCAGCAGTCTAACACGTGCTTTAATTGGAATGTCATCACGGCCAGCCAACTGCCTCCCAGCCCACTCCCGGGGCAGGCCAGCCTTCCCACTCAGCAACACAGCACGCCTCACCTTCCAGTGTCCGCCGTCGCCAAAAGGCAGTGGTCCCAACGCGGATTCCACTTAAAGGAGTATAACGGAAGTAGTGGGGCGGGCTTTACTGCTATTATCCAATAGTAAGCGAAACTTCCAACTATAGGCTGCAATACTGACCTAATGATTGGCCGTGCTCGCTAAAGCCTCCAAAAGTATAGAGCGGTCGCACTTCAACCATAGAGATGGGACTAGGAAAGGCCGGAAGAGCCTTATTAAGAGTAGCCGGACTTCTCAATTCTTCCTAATTTCTTCGTACGATTTAATCATTAATCTTGTAATTAGCGCATCTATCTACGTTACACAAAAGAAAACTTTGGAAAATGGGAGACAAAGCCTAATTTTTATGACATACTCTGCCACCTGCTAGACTAGGATTTCAGAATGTAAACAAAACCGCCCTAGGTTCAAAGTAACCAGTAATGAGCGAGTTTAAACTATTACAAAGTAGACTGATAGCCGAGCGTGGTGGCGCACGCCCATAATCCTAGCACTCAGGAAAACTGAGGCAGGAAGATCAGTATAAATTTGAGGCCATCCCAGATTACCTAGCGAGACCCTATCTCAAAAAAAAAAAAAAAGAAAAAGAAAAGGAAATAAACCGACCTATCCTCACCCCGCCTCAAATTATGAAGCATAGCAAAGTTACTGTCACTTGTGGTAAACCTTTGTATGTGTGTGGGGGGGGGGGGGTCGTGGTTGTTTTTTTTTTTTTTTTTGTCTTTTTCCTTTTTATCGGTACCGGGGATCGAACTCACGACTGCCTGCTTGCAAGGCAGGCGTTTATGCTGCTGAGCTAAATCTCCAGCCCCCAGGTTGTTGTTTTTTTGTTTGTTTGTTTTTTCCTTCTTTGAATTTTTTTTGTTATCAGAAATCAAATACTTGCCAGGCAGGCGCTGAGCCGCTGAGCTACATCCCCACTCAAAATGGTAAAGCTTTTGTTTTAAAGGGCTGTGATGATGTGAAAAGTCTGTGATTTCAATATTCTAATAAATGCTACAAAAGAGAGAGAAATAGCCTACCGTGGAAACCTGAAGGAGAGAAGAACTAACTTGTCGAAAGCTAAAAGAACGTTCCAGAGTGTGTCGAGCTTTTTTTGAGCCCAGTGGTGTGCTTTTCCCTGGATTTACAGATAGCCTGCTCTCTTAAAGAGCTGATTTTAAACTGGAGAAGGAATAGTCACAATCCTTGATTTTGTTACTTCCTTCTTGTGTTTTCCTTCCATGATGTTTTGCTTTTTCTTAAGAGAAAGTTACCTGACTTGTGGTGAGTTATGGGTAGAGAGTTGCCCTAGCATACTGAAGGTTATAGGTTCACTGTCCAGTACAAAAAAGAAAGAGAGAGAGAGAGAGAGAGTCTCATTTTTGTAGTAATTAAAGCATTTCAGCCTAAGAGGTAGTACTAAGGTTCTTATTTTCATTAGTTTTTACATAGTCTTTAAATTTTAAAAATCCTCCGTTGCAAGTTCGAGGCCAGCCTGAACTGTATAGTGAGACCCCTCTCAAAAAAGACAAAAAAAAAAATTTTTTTTTTGTTTAAATCGTCTGCTTGAATCCAAAGCAAAACGCAATTATTTTAACCAGTATTTAATATCTTTGAGATAAGTTTATTTTTATTGCTGTTTAAACTGTTATTTCAACATATTTTACATTGTGATATAGTTTGTAGTTTGGGAAACATTGAAGTTTTCCCATTGTGAGCTAAAGTATAATCAACTTTTATAAATCTTCCACAAATTTTTGAAATGAAGATATTTTCAGTGTCATGCATAAATATATAAAATATGAATTAATAGCCTTTGTTATAATTTTTTTTTGGTCTTTTTCCTTTTTATCGGTACCAGGGATCGAACTCACGACTGCCTGCTTGCAAGGCAGGCGCTTATGCCGCTGAGCTAAATCCCCAGCCCCTTTGTTATAATTTCATTGTCAAAATATTTTGGGTATTATATATGTGAATAGAAGTATGTGATTTACAGTGATATTATTATGCTTTAAATACCAAACGCTGGAACCGGGGATTTAGCTCAGCAGCATAAGTGCCTGCCTGCCAGTTGTGAGGTTGTGAGTTTGATCCCTGGTACCAAAAAATAAAGAAAAAAAAAATAACTACAAATACCGAAAGCTGGTGAGGATGCAGAGCAGTAAGGGCTTTGATTTATTATGTTTGGTTGGTTTTTGGAGACAAGTTTTCACTACATAGTTGAGGCTGGCCATGAGTTCCTAGATAGCCCAGGCTGGCCTCAAATTTGACGCAATCCTGATTCATCCTCCCAAATGCTGGGATGACAGGTGTTTATCACCACTCCTAGCTCTAGATATTAGATTGTTTCTTCGTGTGTGTGTGTGTGTGTGTGTGTGTGTGTGTGTGTGTGTGTATTTTAAAACTTTTATTGATACACTTGAGATACATATAACATTCATTATAGGAAATTTGTCCCTGTACATGATATATCTTGCTTCTTTTTTTCTCATTCCCCTCCTCTCCATTCAATTTCTCTTCCTCTTCTTACTTATAAAAGTTCAGTGCCTGTTTTTTTTTTTCCTGTTACTCTCTTTTCTTTTCCTTGGGCCTTCTTTTCTTTCCTCTCCCTCCCTTGTTCCCCTTCTCATTTGAACATTTTCTACACATTTCTCAATATCTTTTACACATGTTGGTCCTTATATACACTTTTGGTCTCTCACACTGAGAATCAATGCAATATTTAAACATGTGTATCCAATTTATTTCACATAAGAGTAGGATATCAAGGTGTATCCATTTACCTAGAAATGTATCAAGCTTATCCTTCTTTCTGGTAGAGTAGTACTCCATTGTATAAAATAACCACATCTTCCTTATCCATTCACCAGTTGACGGCATTTAGACTGTTTCCAAAATTTAGCTATTATAAACTGTGGCACTATAAACATGAGTGTTCATATAATGCTGTGACATGGGGCTTTTAATTCTTTTGGGAACATATTTAGAAGAGGAAAGACTGGTTTCTCTAATCTGAGTTTTTTGAGGAATAACCACACTGACTTCCACAGTGGTTGCACCCAGTCTGCACTCCCACCAAGTAGAGAAGAGTTCCTTTTTTCCCCCACCTGCATTTATTATTGGTTGACTGCTTGATAATGGCCATCCTTTCTGGAGTGAGATGAAATCTCAGCATTGTTTTAAATGACTATGTTGTTGAACATTTTTTCATATATGTATTTGCCATTGCTACTGCTTGATCTAAGAAGTGTCTATTTCATATTGCCATTTTTGAATTGGGTCTTTACATTTCAGAGGGGTCTGATTTTTCTTTATATATTCTAAAAATTGGCCCTTTGTCTGAAGAACAGCTGGCAAATATTTTTTCCTTCATTGTCAGTTGTCTTTTCACTGTGTTGATGGTTTCTATTGCTGTGCAAAAGCTTTTGAGTAAGATGAGGTCCCTTTTGTTGATTTTTTTTGTGATATTTCATGTATGATCAGGGTTTTATCCACAATCTTTGCCTTCACCAATGTTTTCAAGAGTTCTACCTATTCTAACTTCCAGCAGTCTTAGTGATCAATTTTTATTTTAGTTTAGTGCATGGTGATAGACATGGGTGTAGTTTTAGTTTTCCAGCAAGTGAAAACCCAGATTTTCCAGCACCATTTATTAAACAAGCTATTTGTTTTTTCTGGTGAGTGTACCACACCATTCCTGGATTTTAAGCGGGGTATCTCAGAGAGCCTCCGTAGCTGCTGCTATCTATCTGCCATGTTCTCCCGGAAGTCTCGGAAGTATCTTATTTTTCAATCAACTTGAAAGACAGTTTTGTTGGGTATATATCAGTCTGAGTTGAGGTATAGAGAACTCCTGGTCCTCATCTCAATCCAGGAAGTTTATATTTGTAATCCCATGGATAAATTACTGGAACTCCAATAAGTTTTTTTTAATCTACTACTTCCAGTGCAACCCAGCATGAGAATAAAGACACTAAGACATATTTATAGTTGTGGGGTGCCAAGGGGTCCTAAGTCTGGCCAGGATGAAAGCTCATCAGAACAAAGGCCTTGACCCAGGGCCCAACCAAGATTTTATTAATTCATAAAGAAAGGAGTGGCTTGAGGATGAGTGACTGTGAGCTTTGTGGGAAATCTGTGAGTACTGTGAGCTGGGCTAGGGAGGAGGTCTAAAAGCATCTGTGCAATATGCAGAAAAACTAATTTGCATAACACAATTGAGGTAGCTTCTAATGTTTTGGGGTCAGTGCTTCAGTTCTGAGACGTAAATTTTTCTTCCCTGGGACGTCATAGCCTCTTTTTCTTTTTTTTTTTTTTTTTGTCTTTTTCTTTTTTATTGGTAACGGGGATTGAACTCACAACTGCCTGCTTGCAAGGCACGCACTTATGCCACTGAGCTAAATCCCCAGCCCCAGTCATAGCCTCTTAACTCAAGGCTTGATCACAGTTGGCAGTATGGAGTGGTGGCTCTTCATCCCACCTGGCTCAGTCATGTTTTGGGGGAGTCCTGGGGCAGGGAAACAGCAACTGTCACCCAGCTTCAAAGATTATGCATCGGCACCTCAGCCAGCCCTATTTACATTACTTAAAGCCAATAGAAGGATAAAGAAATGGCTTAGCAAGCTCTGTATGTATCAGTACATGGAGATAGATTTAGGTTTAGCCAAAATGGAGGTAAATGCTCTTTATTCAAGGAAAATCATCTAGGTGGTCCTGTACATTGGAGATTGTCTTGTTTTAGGGCTTGTGTTGTAAAGTCTGCTGTGATTCTGATGAACTTTCCTTTATAGATGCTTTGCTTTTTCTTTAACAGCTTTTAGTATTCTGTTCTTGTGTTGAATTTCTGGAATCTTGACTATTATCTCTTAGTGTAGATTTTTTTGATCACAGATAATTGGAGTTCTATATGCCTCATTTATCTCTGTGTCAAATTCTTTTCCCCTGCTTGAGAAGTTTCCTGCCATTACTTCTGTAAACAGATCTTTTCTGTCACTATCTCCTGCTTTTTTATTGATGCAAATCAATCTTATGTTATTCTTCTTTGTATCATCTATCAGCAGTTGGATTGGTTTTTCATAATTCTTTGTTATTTTTAAGAAATATTTCTTTTTGAGCTGGATCTGGTAGCTCATGCCTATAATCGCAGCACTCAGGAGGCTGAGGCAGGAGGATTGTTGTGAGTTTGAGACCAACCTGGGCTACAAAGTGAGCTCAAGGCCAGCCTG